TGGAATCAACTTTGGTATTTTTATGCAAATTGGAAACAGTTGACTTATCTTCATGAACTGCACAGTGATTTTTGCCTGCTGTTTAACAAACACAGGGGCAACATATATATATTTAGACATAAAGGAACACTGTCACTATAAATGTCTACACAATCACAGTGTGAATTCAGACAGCTCATGTGATGAGTGCACAGTGTCTGAAATCATATGATCACGTACAGTTTCCTCCCTGCAAGATCTGTTCATGTCAAATACGCAGAGTGGGTGGTGTTCTCTAAATGAAAATGAGTGTCTGCATAATAAATGAAGCTTCTTTCTTAAGATTCCTGCTTCATCTACTGTAGATGCATTAAGAAATGTGATGAATGATACAGGAAAGAAAGACAGACCCGCAGTTAAAGCAGATGAAGTAGTTACATTCCACACTGAGAATTATATTTTATCTTTCTCTGAGGTCCCATGTTATCCTGGGCAACTGAGTTTAACCAAAATTTTTAGTTTTTCTCTAGTTTTTCAAGCTGCAGTCCCAAAGGTCCACAGCAAAGTTTAGATGAAATACTCCAAAAGTAGTAAAAGCTTATCCTTGATGCATCACCTATATCGGTCAAATGTCAAACTGTTGCTCTAAAATACTAGTAAATTATAGTTTTCCAAAGAAAGAACTAGAGCCTAATCTAAATAAATGCAGATATTTTCTTCCTAATTTATTCTTTTTAAGTTGAAGTTCTACCAAATCCAGCAGATCAATTAGCATGAAAACTCAAATAAAAGAGGGTTTAAAAAGAAAGGGAAAAAAAAAGACAAAAGTGGAAAGACAAATGTCTAATAAGGAGTAAGAGCCCACCATTTGTGTAAATCATGATATAAGCTATTCTACTTACTGCTATTCTACCCATTAATACTCAGCATAGAAACTATATCTAAATGTTGAGCATGTGTATATATGCTACAGCCATATTTCTTAATAAAACAAATAGTCACATTAAGATTTCATTATGGTATTTACTGAAATCTACATTTTCTATAAAAAGGTTCTTCCTTTTTATAGGCAACACATAAACTGAAGATTGTGGCTAGATGTGTGTATCTTTATGGGGCACTGGTGTCTTTTGTTCTACCTGCATTCTGCTTGTTGGATGCACTATGTGGACTGCACCTACAGGTATGCAGCAAGAATAGAATATTTATGTGAACCACACATTCATCAGTAGGAAGGAAAATGAAGACTGCAGAAAAATACCATATTCTGGATACATCAAAATTTAGATGACTTATCCTTCAATTCCTTTCAAGCTGCAGTTCCTGCTCAGACTGTATCTCAAATTTACATTTCAGTACTCCAATCTGAAAAGTCAAAATAAAAGAGAAGAATATTTTTCAAAAACATTCTGTTCACAGTAATTAATCTCAGGTCAGTGACAATTACTACAAGCAGTATCATGTTCATTGCAGGTTTTGAAGGAAAACTACAGTGAAAAATTGTTTGCTGTACTGGATAGATATTCTTCATTAAACTGAAATCACTAGTCACTGCTTTCTTCAGAAACAAACATCATTAGTCTAAAGGAGAAGGATAAGATTAGGTTTTGCTTATACTTTATGAAACCCTACACAAGATCTGCAACATTTAGGATAATTAGACACTTGAAGAAATCAAGAGGCAGACACAGCTTGGGTCTTTTCACAGTCTTAAGAGATGTTAACTGAACTACAAGTTCATAATTTCTCGTAATACCTGTGGTGTTTGCTATACTCGCAGTAAACACAGCATTATAAAGAAAGTCTCTGAGCAGGTGAATGGTACGTTAACAAGGGCTTCATCTTCCTAGGCTTACCTCAATATGCCACACATTCAAAGTAAACCCAAAAGTAAACACCAATTGCAAATTTAAAATACGGTTGTCTATGTGACCAAAAATGTGATTCTGAAAGATGCAAACTTTCTGGAAAGCTTGGTGCTTACTCAGTCTGAAGTCGAATGATGATGTATATTCAAATGTCACCAGTTAGCTATTGTACTGCTGATCCTTTGAGCAGAAACGTCTTATTCCACAGTGTTTATCCTGTAATCCCATACTGTCAGGCCAAGAATCAGCACTCCCAACAGCCAACTTGCCTCCAGCTATTTTACCTCTTCAGCAGCTTTCAAGAGGCTGTAATATACTGTCAATACAAAAGCCACTGGCTTATTGACAGGTAGAGGGAAAAAAATGAAATTTAGAAAACTAGAATTATACATCAAGCAAGACAATAATTACTTCATGAGTTTTTATTAGTTTTTATACAAAAATACCTGAAATATTTAAAACAAACAAGCAAGCAGACAAACTAGAAGGCAGTTACATTTCATTGGTTCTTCATTTGAAATGCTAAGTCAGCGTTTAATTTTTTTAGTGTGTAGCATAGGTTATTATCACTATCATCTATGGGTTTAATGAATATAAGACTACCTCTACCGCAAGTCTTGCCTCAGTTAAAAATAATCTCACTTTTCCAAAGCAATCAGGGAAGCTTGTTTTATATTTGATTGTATGGCTGTCTACGTCCCACAAGCCATTTCCTGAGTAAAGCTATGACTCTTTCTAGCCGTGACTCACTTCTGTGCAACTCCACAGTAAAGATGAGCACACTGATGGGCACCCCACTCTGTTACTGTGGAAGAGACCCTGCCTTCGTGAAGTTCACATTTTAATATGCATCAAGCTGTTTTGGACCCTTCAAGTGCGAAGACAGACATGTGAACCGGTACGGGCTCCCACCACTAGGGGGCTGTGTGAACACGGTGTTCTAGCGAGTTCTTGGCCCTCGCTGGTTCAAAAGGGCAAACCTAAATGCACTAAACCGTGACTCTGAAATTATTCGGTTCCAATTCTCTCCCCCCTCTGACAGAAAATGCGTCTAGTCATGGCTGAACCAGCCCTGCGATTTTTTTTTTTTTGTTTTTGTTTTGAATGACCATATGTTACTCACAATTTTACTTGGTCCCAAGTACTTCTTAAAAAAAAAAAAAAAATCCTTTTGAGTCATTGTTTGAGCTCACTGCAGATGAAGGATCAAAACTAATCCCGGAGTTGGACACCACAAGGTATGCACTGCACCTGAAGACATCTGGCTCAAACCCTGGGAACAGAGAGAGCTTTCCATAACAACACAGAGAGAAGCGTGAGGTGAATCCCTCCAGTTGTCGTGAAAACCCAGATCAGGTGGCAATCCGGGTCAGCCACTCTTTTCTCCCGAGTTGGTCGCAGGAAAGGCACAAACAGCACCGACAGCAGCACGGGCTGCAGCCCTCCGAACTCGGCCGCTCGCAAGGCGTGCCAGGCGCGGCACGCGAGGGCTGTACGGCCGTGGGCCATCGCCGGGGAGGAGCGCGGAGACCGCCGCGCAGCACGGCCTGCCCCGCACACCTGCCCCGTCTCCTCGGGCACTGCGGTGCCTGCTGGGTCCGCGGCGCCACTGACACGGGGAGGTCTGGAGGCAGAACGTCCCAACAGCCACGCGGTATCTCGGCGCCGTCCGGCCACGCGGACGTGCTTGCACCTGAAGAACGTCCTACGTCTCCGTCATAAGATCCAGCACCAGCTTTGCGCTTACACAGACCAGAGGAAGGACAGCGCGCAGCCCTCGCGGGGGGGACGCGAGGGACGGCCACAGCGCCTCGTCCCCGAGACCCGCGCGCCACGCACGCTGTCCTCCCGCCGCCCCCCTCGCTAGGCCTCCCGCGCGGCGCAACGCCTCCCAGCCGCCCCGAGAGCGGGGCCACGCGGCAGCGCCGCGGCCGTGACCGCTGGAGGCCGCCGGGAGGGGCCGCAGCACCCCAGCGGCCGGGTGGAAGGCGGGCGGCGCGCGGCGCGCGTGCGGCGGCTGCGCTCCCGGCCCCCCCCCCCCCCCCCCACCCCGTGCGCGCGCGGCGGCCGTTATGTGCCGCCGCCCAGGGCCGCAGCGCCCGCGTTCCCCCGGCGCGGCCAGGGCAGGGTTTCGCTCGGCTTGGCTCCGTGTCACACACAGATGTGACTCTTGTCTGTTCCCTGCGAATGTACAACCGTGACGGCTCACCTCCTCCCGCCTCCCTTCTCCCTCCACCCGCCTCCCCCCCCCAACCCAGGCACAAAAAAAAAAAAAAAAAAAAAAAAAAAAACACTCTTTGACAAAAATCTCCTCAGATCCCACACCGAGCAGCAGCGGCCGCCGCAGCAGAGCCCGGGAACGGATGGAGCAATGGGTGGGGAGCGGGAACCCGGCGCCGCCAGCCCCAACTTTCCCCCTGCCTAACTTTTCGCTTCCCTTCTAACGCTCCGCGCGGCTCTCCCTCTCTTCCCCTCTGCCGGGCTCGGGTGGCTCTCCTCGCCGCTCCCCGCTCTCTCGGAGCTCATAAGGAAGCGGCGAAGCGGCGAAGCGGCGGGCGGGAGCGCGACCGGGGCGAGCGGGCAGCGGAGCGGGAAGGCAGGGCGGGAAAGGAGGGGAGAAGAGGAGAAGGGAGGGGGCGGCCGGTCCGCACTGCCGCGCTCGCCACGAAGTTGGCGGCGAGCGCCGGGCGCGTTTGACAGCTGGGCGCGGGCGGGCTTCGTGGCCCCGGCTGGCACGGAAAGTTCGGAGGGGAGGAGGCGGCGAGGGGGCTGCTTCCCCCGCCGCGCTCTCCCCTGCCTCCCGCTCCGCCGCCCTTGCCCGGGAGCAATAAAAAGCGGCGCGGGGGTTCCGCTGCCCTCGCGGCCCCTCTCGCAGCCTCCCCTGCCGCCTCCCCTTTCCTCTTCCCCGGCCCGACGGCCCAACGACAACAAACCAACCTGTGGAGGCTCTGACCCGGACCTGGGTCCCTCCTCCCATCGCTTCCAGCTCTCCGCTGGAAGCTTTCCCCTCTCTTTGCCTCTCTGCTGCTCGGGCTGAACTTTTGGGGGCTGAAGTTTTGGAGGAGTCCGAAGGAGAGGGAAAGGGAGTCTCATTTCTGCTGTTATTTTTTTGGGGTGGGGGGTGGGGGGAAGGGAGGGGGGACGGAAAAAACAACAACAAGAACAACAACAAATCCTCTCGTTTTTGTTTTTGAAACCTCGCTATATTTTTTTAGTCCAAACCACCTGAAGGTGTGAGGGTGAGGGACAGACAGGAAAGCGGGGAGGACGAAGGGGAGGAAGGAGAGACGGAGAGAGGGAGAGTGGAGAGGCGCTGAGAGTCCCGAGGCAGCAGGAAGGGTGCAGGCACTGCCGCTGAGAGGAGATCGAGAGACAGGGGGTGCACTTGACAACCAGCATGCAGAGATGGTAAGAAGTTTCCAGCAGCCTTTTCGTTTTCATTCTAGCCTGTGCTTTGGTTTGATGTGATGAATCAGTGGTGCAGCAAACACCAGCAGCCCCGCTCGCGGTCCGCTGTGTTTCACTCGACACAAACCAGCGGCCGGGCAGCGAGGGAGGAGGGGGTAATAAATAAATAAGTCAGCCCCGTGCTGCGTGGATTGGGGGAGAAAATGACTTAGAGGCTGTGCTAAACTTCCAGAGAGTTTGGGGGGTTGCAATGGGATGGCCACATGCTTCTTACCGCCTCCTTCTCCCCGCTGAAGGCACGGGGATAGTTTTTTGTTGTTTGTTTTTTTATTTTTTTTTTTTATTATTATTATTATTTTTTTTAATGTGTCTGTGAAGGGAGGGAGAGTGAAGGTGGAGTGGGGCTGAGTGGGGCGTGCGGTGCTCTGATCCTTTCCGGACACCACCTTCTGCTCGGAAACGAGCGGGGTTTTGCTCACAGCGGAAAGGTAACCCCCGAGAGCTGGGGAAGGAGCCGCGCGTTGGCGTACGAAGCATCGCCCGGGGCAGGAGGCAGAGGCGCGACCCCCCTCCCCGCAGCCTTTGTTGTGCATGAGTCCGCAGCGCGCCGCTCCGTCCGAGGGAGGGGGCAGCCCTAGCCCAACTTCCCCCAAGTTTTAGTGAGTGCTTCGCGTGCTGTGCAAATGCACCTCTGGGTTTTTGCAAAGGAGGGCTGGGGCTTCCGCGGCCTCTTGGTTTAAAAATAAAAAAGGCGAAATGACTGGGGACCTCGTTTGGCTGGAGTCCTCTCATCTGGGCTTTGATGTGAAGATAGGTTAAACAGCTGCGAAGAGCAAACACGTCTAAAGAGCCGTGACTCCTCTGACGTGCGTAGTGATAACCGCTCGTACGAGCAAGTGGACCGACCTCGGCGGGTGATGAGCGGTGCTCAGCCCGCACTCAGCGGAGTGGTGCGTTTCCAATTGCTGCTGGATTACTTCCGTGCTTCAGTCAGCGTCTGTCACCTCACTCCGGGGATATTACGTATTTGCCTTGTGTGTCTCTCGCGTGTGTCTGCTTGTGCGCACGCACACAAACTTACACGTACAGAATAATATATATATATATGTATAGTGTGTACATACATATGTGCATGTATACATGGCAGTCAGACTCTAGATACAGCATGTACCTCTGTGTGAATGGAGAGCTTGAGATGCAGGGTTTGTATTTTTCCCTTCTCTCCCTGACATGACATGTCTTGTTTCAGTGATCAAAGCCTTTGGAGTGTAGGAGATGCAACTGTCAAATGTAGGCAACAATAAGGAAAAAAAAAAAAAAAAAGAAAAAAAAGGGAGGGGGAAAAAGCAGCGTGTGCCCAGGACTGTGGTTACAGTAACGCTGACAGAAATTAAAGTGGTTTTGAAAGCAGCATGCGATTTATGATGGTTCCCATTTACCCTAGAGTCAAGCTGTTGTAAAATTGATGCACGAAAGACATCATGTAATAATCCGGTGTACCCAGGATTAAAGTGGCAACGAGTGTCTTTTTGTGTGTGTGTCTGGCCAACAGTCAAAATGGTTTGAAGCAATTTTTAAGTAAGAAGTCAAAGCAGAATATTACGTATTTCGTTTCTTAACCCGTGTGTTAGCTGTGCATGTTGGAATATTTTTAGGTGGAAGTGGACTTTTCTTTCTCGTTATCTTCCATTTCGCCTCTCCGTATGACACATCTTCCTAGACAGGAATTTTAAAATGGGGTAGCATTTTTGTCATACGTTCAAAGCATAAATGCTCACAGTATAATTACTGAGTTCATTTCAGACAGTAATATTTTATAAGCCCGATCAGCAGATCTGTGCAAGAATACAAAGTTCCTGTAAAAGTATGTGGAACGTTCCATGCCCTTAAAAATTGCAGGAATTTTTAATCTGAAATTTAATGGGGCATATGAGCTGTCTGATACGCTGCAGTTTCATTTTAAGCTGCCCAGTATTAATGAACCGTCCAGCTGTGTATGAGTTCTGCCTTAAATTCCTAAATCATGTGAATTTAAAAATATATATATGCTTATTTATTTCACTAATATTTCAAGCAGTCCATCTTTACACGATGCAGATGCAAGAAAATCTCAATGTAAATTATACACTAATTATATAGTAAACTCCTTGTAAAACTTGGGAATGTGAAAGTGTTCCTGAAACGCGTACATCTTGTACATACATTAGGAAAGGCTTGCCTTGGTACATTATTTTGTAAAAACGCAACACAGGCGTTTTAGGGGCACAAACTGTGCAGGCCTCTATATTTAAAAACGATGTATTTTTACTACTGAGGTGTATGTGATTACATTAAGGAAGTAAAAGTACGGACAAAAGCAGAGTTGACTATTTCTATATTAAAATGTAAGTGTTACAGTTTGAATTTTCTAGTGAGTTTCTGAGTTCAGTGCTTTACATAACATTTTGTCCTCATCTTGCTTGCTGTCAGAGATGTTTCATGGTTGTGCAATTGCTGCAGTCAAGAATGCCAATTTGCATTCCAGGAGTGTCATTTGATTACTTTTATCTGCACAGCTCGAAGACCAACCCAGACCTCTCATTTCATCTTGCCATGTCACGAGTCAGTGCTGTGTCGTCTTTTAAAAAATCTGCCTGATTTAGACAAGAAAGAAAAGTACTTTTATGTTGCAGCCGCAGTCCCCTGCTAACTTGTCAGCAGCAGGATATGATTCACTTGGGCCCAGAAGAGTGGTACAGAGATGAGGGTTAGGCAGTTCAATAAAGCCCATGGACAGGTAGTGTGTGACGTCCCAAGAGAGCTTAAGTTAATGAAGAACAGGTCTGCTTAGTTCTTCACACTCTGACCTGGTGCTGTCCCCACAGTTTTCTCATTTGATCTTTCCCAGCAAATTGATCTTTTCTAGTACTTTTTTGCCTTCCAAGTTAGTCCTTGTGGGACTGAAATTAGCAGAGCAACTTAAGTTGGATAATACAGCTGTTCAGAGAAGAAGAAATTGGACACTAGCTCATAAAGGGGGAGGGGGATGTAAGCTATTCTTTCTGTTGTTAGCTGAGTTTTCCTTTTCTTTCTTTCCTTTCTTTCTTTTCTATCTTTTTTTTCTTTCTTCCTTTCTTCATTTCTCCCTTTCTTCCTTTCTTTCTTTCTTCCAGCTTTATTTTAGAAAACTTCACAATAGCCAATAGTCACATTACTTTGGAAGTTTGCTTTCTCTCTTATTTATAGTCTGTATGGATGGTCCATTGCACACCACATTAAATGTGTATCCTTTAAATAAAACAAACATGCTTGCAGCAAAGGCTGCAGGTTTGTTTTGGTATTTGTCAGTTGAACTTGCTTGTTAGAAATGATTTGCTAGTCTGTAATGAGGCTTTTACAGTTGTCGTAAGACATTTTAAATATCAATTGCACATGCCAACTGCATTATTTATAGCCTGCTAAATAACTGTAATTCCATAGTATCCAATACTGAAATGCAGTGGAGATTAAACAATAAAAGCCATTACAAATGGTATGTGTAAATATTATGGTAGGTGAGAATACAGTCAGAAAATTACTACTGGCATTACTGGTTTTCTGAAAAAGCAGTGTATGCAAACATACTGGTTTTAAACCAAGGCTCTCTGTATTTGAAATCTGAGTTCTAGAATGGAAATATGGTATTACCTATCATTCTTTCACATTAATTTGCATATAGTAGTTGAAAAGCGGAGTGGAGATGTGTTTGGGTGTGTGTGTGCACATGTGCACATGTATGTGTGTATTTAAATACACACATGGCTAGCTTGTCAAACAATGTAAGATTTCAAACTAGAATTTTGTAAATAGCTTATGTTGGAAATGATTAAGGGGCTCTTTATTATGCTGCACACCAATAAGCAGTATTTAACATTGTATATCACAGCAGATGTTCTCACATATTTTCCATGTCCTTTCAAGCTTAGAATTGAAAACGCTGCTGAACGAAAACAAGAACCCTTATGTATGGGAAATGCTGCTCTCTCTTTCCTTCAGTATTGCTTTTGAACATGGGAAGGAAATGTAAAGGATCATTGGTCAGTTAAGCTCCTCTGCAGAGCTAGAGGGAGCTTCACGATTTTATTAGACATGTCTAAGGTAAAAAAAAAAAAAGAAAAAGTGGAAGAATACTCTGAATCAGGGGTGCTGATTGCTAACTTTTTTAGAGCCAGTGATGTACCTTCTAGACTCAGAGGTGACTTTGTTCTGTGTTATATGTGCATGTGTGTTAGACTTATGGCTGAATACAGATGTCATCAATTCCAAACAAAAAACAAATACTGACAGCAAAGTAATTACAGTAAAAGAAATCCATGTAAAACAATGGATTCTTTACTAAAACAGAATCTGTATTTTTTCCTCAAAATCAGAGTTCCTTTTTCCTTTGCATATCAAGCATGATCAAAAAAATTTGGTGACCTTTATTCGCTGTGTATTTTTTTATTGAAAGAGCCCTAAGTCTAGGTCTGCAAGTTTGCATGGGGCTTTTGTTTTAATGCAAGCTATCAGTGTGTGTTGGGGAAAAATCATCCGTATCTGGACATACAGAAAGTTCCCCATATAATATAAAACAAATAGAGCATTTCTGTCACTTTGGAAATGTGTATTGCTTCCCAATGTAGGAATTTGTACTTAATTTAGAGAAATAGCATTTAATATGGCTTAATAAAAAGCATCTGTTTAAACCTTGTATTCTCTGTCAGTTTCATCCCACCTAAATTCTGACATTTGTTCCAAAAATGCATTGATCATAATTGCTGCTTAATAGTTATATGGCAGCTTTTACAAGCATTACTTTGGACAAACTTACTTACCATTTAAGTAAATGATAAAATCCAGTGAGATAAACGACCAGATTTGTCTCCTTTATCTCTTGCACAGTAACTCTCATTATGTGCCTTGCTAGTAAAAGCCTTTATTTGTAGATTATTAGAATCTTAGTACACTCAGGAGCTCTGTTGTAATTTAATGTAGTTGTTCAA